CGGTCGTGATATGCGGCGGAATGAAAGAAAACGAGCGAGTGCGGGTACGCGAGAGAACGAGCGCGCCTAGCGGTCGCAATGGAATACCCACTTGTAGAGCCGGCGGATGACCGGGCGCGTAAACTAGACTGGCGGGTTGGCAAACAGGTGAGATGCCGTCGCGTGCCCGTCTTTCTCTGTCTCCCTTCCTCGCGCTCTTTCCATCCCACCCTGTCACCCTCCTCCAATAACCCGGCTGGTCCCTTTTCCCTCTCGCTCTCACCACCCACACCACCCCTAGCGTCCTCTTCGTCTACGTAGTCTACATGCTCCTCCCACTCCAGCATTTCCGACAGTCTCCCTCTAACCTGACGCGTATCAACCCCCGGATTCTAGACTAGCCTCGTCCTTGCAGTTCGTATTTACTTCCTACGCCTTTTTTGCCCCCGCGCATTCCACAATTTCCACATTTTTCCTTCCGTCGAGCTAAAGAGTCGGATGTATTCTCCGCTGCGCGTCGTACGTCTTCGTCCTCGTCATTCTTCCAGGTTACTTCCACCTTGCCGTCTTGCCCATCATCGGCCCCTAGCCTTTGTTTCTCTCATCTCCACCTCGCGCAATCGTCCTGCACCGTTTTGTTCCTATTTTCGTCCTTGTTCGATCAACCACGCTCGCGGTATTCGTCGTTCTACATTCGGGGAGATACCAACCCTCCTATCTCGTAATTCCGCTTTTCACTCTTCTCTATGCCAGTGTTCCTCCTTTCTCTTTGTCTCCCTTTCTCTCGCTTTCTCGCCGACCCACCCCCATACCGACTCCCTTCCATCGCTCGCCGATAACCCTACCTAGGAGCATGGGGCTCTCCCTACCCCCTGCAGGGGTTACAACCGGAGGTACTTGCGTGCGCAGCACGTCCATCGATCTATTTCAGCTCACCTACGCTCTCCTGGCAAGCCTGGCAAGCCTGTACCTGCCTGCCTGCCCGCGCGACTCTGGGTGCGTTCACACCGGCCCAAGGTGTGGACCAGCGGGACAGAGATGTTTTATCGTGATCTAGAACGTGATCCCTCCAGGGACCATGTTAACTGCGTACCAGTGTCGTAATAAGGGAGGATTTCGGTGGATCTAGCTAAAGGGGAGCATCGATCAGCCGTCCGAGGAACGGGAAACTCTCGTCTCTCGCGAGATACCCATGACAGATTGATAAGGTATATTCGATTGGCTCGGGGAACACTCGATTCATGGCATTACGAGCCGTCTCGCGATCACACCCGTGTATTTTCTAGGCTTCCGGGTTATTTTTCTGTTATTCGGTTATCGCGCGTTTTATGCGGTTTCACGCGCAACATTTTCCAACCATTCGACCTTGTTTCTGACCCGAAAATGTTACCGAAATAACGTGAGTCATGGACAACCTAACCCAAGCCGTGTAATTTGCATGATACGAACAGGACTGACCCGATATCCAATACGAACTTCGGCAAGTATCGAAGTACGAATTGTTACCGTTCCGGAGAAAAAGGAACGAAAGTGGTGGAAGCGAAGTCGGAGAATCGAACAGGCCGCGATGATTCCATAGATTCTGGACACCCGAGAAGTTGGCAAATGAGATTCAGCCAATACCAAAATTCGGAGCTGGTGGAAAGAGAGTGGTAGAGTTGAAATGCAACGGAAGACCGAAAGTTGGACAACGCGTATTTGATAAAACTACTAGAGCACAACGTTTACGTGCTACGCGGACCATGGCTGACGCAGATGCTGGCAGCTTGCTAGGCGATGCCTCTGAGAAATTTCTACTTCCTCTCAACTTTTGTCTGTCGTGGAAATTTTCAGCAACGACTTGTCGCTTGGATCGATGTTTCAAGGTTGCCCGCCACTTAGCCTATTATTTATTCAAATACGTATTCTACACGCCCCCTAAATGCGATGTTTGTCAGAAGCTTCTCCAGTCAGGGGTTTAATACCATGGTGTACGAATACAACGTATATTCTGCGGTTTATAGAAAATTGATTTCATCACAGGGGAAAGTAATTTCGTTGAAGTCAATACCGGTTATAGAATAACTTTATAAAAAAGTACTCAACTATTTTCAAAATAATTTTTGTCAATGCGTAATAAAAATTAAAGTTCATTTTCAAATAGACGTAGGAAATACCGTATCATCGCGTATTTTATTTTCCAAAGCAACCTATTTGCAGGCTATTCGCTAATAAAGAGTTCTCGTTAAGCTTATTAGGAACACGATTGTCGAATTGGTTACGGCTGTGATCCATCGGTAGGAGCGAAATTTTCGACGCAATTCATCCGTATTGGATTCGAAAATTAAACACAATAGGCTCGCAGAAATGCATCGCGAATGTAATTTGCTGACTTGGTGGCTTACAAAACGTAGGCATAGCCGTATATTAAATTCCCTCGGACCAATCAGCGTATAAATTTCGAGCTAAGCCGAGGGTAGAACCTGATGTAGTTAGGAACACATTCAGCCGAGGTACCGTATCACCACGGACTACGAGCATTTCGTCGATCGCGTTTGTACCGATTTTCGATCGCTCGAACGGCATTCGTATCGGCAGAAATCATCGGTGTCCTCCCAACATTATTATATTTCTCGTTCATTTTAGTTCCCCGTCGAGCTTTATGCCGTGCAGAATGAAATTCCAGCTCAAAGGGTGACATTCGTTCCAGGATCAACTCGCGGATAAAGTCCAAACCTCTGTCTTATTACGATACACGCTACAATTTCGATTTAAAGGGAAGCAAAATGCTGAAGAAACACGGGGAAAATGTTTCAAAAATTCGAAATACATTTTATGCTGGAAACGTGGGCATAAAATATGACAGCGATGATGATGACCCGATGCATGTGATAATTACGAACAATGATACTTTCGACGTTTTTAACCTAATTTCTATTTTCACCATTTTTCTACGTGCTCTATTCCCCTAAAATAAAATAAAATAAATAAATAAAATAAAATGAAACTTCAAGGATATGGTAAACGAAAGAATTGGGACGCAAGAAGCGTAAATTAGACGTATACCAAGTTTTTCGCGGGCCACAACCTATTTAAATCAACCAAAGGAGGTTGAACTGGGAAAGCGAAGATTAAAATACAACGGGATAACGAAAAGCAATTATCGATTCCGGTGTAAACGATTTTACAAACGGGACTAACGATGATGGTAGTCGAACGATGCGGGTATTACAGGGAACAGGTGGAAATCTTTATTCAACGGACGTCTGGATTCCAGCAGGAGGCCTCTTTATTGTTTCCTCTTTATTCTTTCATAGTCCTTGCCTCGTTCTGCTCGCGTTTAACTTGTTGAATCCTATGTACGTTTCTCGATTACATTTCGTTTTACTTTCGCTTCGACGGTAAATGTGGTAAATGAATAACGAGCAAAGAGCAGCCTACTTCGCGATATCAAAGCTAAAGCTTCTTAATAGAGCTTGCGATTGGCAAACTTCGAACGATGAAAGGAAAAATTGGAAAAATAAAGGAAGCATTTGCTAAAATGGACGCAAGTGGAGTAGCCGTGTCGAAGTATTCGCGATGAGAAGATTGCGTCGTCGTTATCGCCATTACTCGATTATCGTCGTTATCCTGAGGGAATATCGCACGTCTTCCGTCTCGCTTTCTTCGACTTACGTTCGAACGCAATTTCCCACGGAAATGTCAACTAACAGCGAACACGAACGATCTGTTACAGAGACAGTAATAGTTTCAGCTCCGCGAACATTTCAAACGTTGACTCGGCCAACATGTGTTGCACCTCTTGCGCAAAATATGACGTACGGGATGGTACAACGGATGAAATTTCGACCCACGGACTACCATTTTTGATATATAACGTTCCACTCGCTGAAAAGTTCGATCGTGAGTCCTTGATTAAATTTTATAAATCCTCCACTATTCTAAATTATAAAAACTAATAAGAATCCAATTTCTATATTTTTCTTTAACTTCTAAATTTAATTTTTGCAAATTTATTTGACAGATATATAATTCTTCAAAGGCTAATAATCTTCTATTTTTTCTTAAAATGATGGGTACTATTGTCACAATGTGGCTATTAAGCGTTAAAAAGAATTTCAATTGGACACCTTTTCTATTAGAATGGAAAATTGCCAAATTATAAATTCTTCGAGGAAAATCAATATTACGAAACCCTACTTCTGTCACGCTTACCAAAAGACCCAGGAAACTCTCAGAATCGCTCGACACGTTCTTGAGAACGTCGCTAGAAGTCATCGAGCTGTCGGTCACGGAGTGTGGGATTTATTTTTCAGAGAAGGAAGTTCTGTCGGGGTGGCGACAAGTTCAAGCGCTTTTGAACTTACCTGAACTGGTTTAAATGGTTGCACCATTCTGAAAGGCTAGGTATCGCGTGGAACACGAGGGTGCGACGGGTTGAAAATTCATGCTATCCAACCGCGAAAGCGGCAAAGAGGGTATCAAACGGCCAGGGGGGTGGCAAATTTTGAACGAAACACTGGCTCCGGAACGTCGGACGATCAACGGTGGCGCGATTAAATCCCTTCTCCACCCTCGGTTCCTTCGTTTTCAAGATTTTTCCTCTGTATAATGTCTCGTCGGACTAGAGTTTCCAGGTCGAGAGATGCCAGGCCATTAACGACGATTGTCGATTCGCGAAGTTGGATGAAGGTGTGTAGCGACCACTCGCCGACAATCAGCCGAGGAATTCTCGCAATCTTCCCGGCCGATGGACCATTCCGCTTCGACTCATTGATCACGATATCTCTGACAGCCACCGTGATCGCGAGATCCATACATTACGATTAGATCAGGCGGGAGATTAAAAGCTGGGACGGTCTGGCCCCCGGATGGGTCGAACCTCGAGGGCCATCGCCTTGGAATATAAGGCTCGTTAGATTTCCGTCGCGTTAAATAATTTCGGTGCCCCTTCCAGTCGTGAGCGTATTGTGGTTCTTGCCAAGTGATCGCTTTCTCCGAAGGCAATAACGCGAAATAAACGTAACGTATGACTTACTCACCCTTATCCGGTATACCCCCATGGTCGCTCGGAAAACGCCGCATGTCAAGTATTTTCATTCTCGTTCTGAACACCTGATCCATTCTGAAAGCATAAAATTCGTTTTTATTAATTTCTCTTTCCCCTTAATTTTTTTTCTTTTTTATTTGCATTGCAATTAGATAATAGACCCGAGTTTTTTTAAATTTGCGCCTTTTTTCCTTGCAACCACTGGTATATTAATTTATGTACCCTATTGCTGAATATGAACTGCAGGCTGTAGACTAGGAGTTTCTCATAGCACTTTTTTTCAGGTCCAAGAGCTTTATCGTTGCATAAATTACGCTCTAGAATTTTTTGATAGAGAAGGTAATGAACGTTTGTTAATCACGACCCTGGATAAGATATTAGCAATTTCGCCGAGGCTTTTTAACGTGGTTATTAGGAGTGTATAAAGATAGAAGAGAGGTGCGTGTACACGGTTATCAGAAAACGAAATTGTGAATTTTAATGATAAACTTTTCGAACACACGCGTGCTATGTTAAAGAACTCGTCGAAGCGCCGGGATTTTAACTATACACGCAAAACTTTCGTCATCGCCAGTTTTCAGCCGTCCATTTTCCCTGTTGACACGTTCAATGGAGCTTATCGCGCAATTTCTACCTACTTTCGCGATCACCAACGCGTTATATCAGAATTTAGTCACTTTAAGATGGCAGATGCCTCGATAAACTGGTTTGGATTAGGTTAATCGACGCGAAATGAGGGCAAAATGAGAAGCTACCCGACGTGAAACGAATAAAAATTCTATTAATTCTTCACTGTTGCAAAATGTTTCGCAAAAGAATCATTTTAAGGTATCTAGATTTAGAGACCTAATCAACGTAACGTGTAACGTAAAAAGAGGAATGTAAATATACCCAAAGCAGTCTTTCCAACTTTTTACCCACGAAAACCTAATAACGTAGAACAGGAGTCCAATAAAAATCTATCACCTCGACGTGAAATGTAGCGAATGCAAGACCAACTTCTCGAAATTTTCAGTGGAAAGAAGTAAAAATGATTAGAACGCGTTTCTTTCCTTTTTCATTCCGATTATTCGCGAAATATAAATTTGAAAGTTGGACGCTGGAAACCTGCAAGCAGGTTCCTAATTTTCAGAACAAAAACCGAACAATGCCGTTCAATGGTGTAGAAATTAACTTAAAATTAGATCGGCGCATCACAATAGCGTATTGTTGATTCAGTGACACGGATTGCCATCAACTTAAATTGAATTAAATTTCTAACGAACTTGGAGCCACTGTTCTCGCGTCGGGGATTGCGCAACGCTCCGGGGGAGTATAGCAATTAATATGCCAAAGTGAGCAGTCATTTTCATTGAGATCGTCACCAGCCGTGTCTACCGGGTTCCTTGTCCATCAAACTCTATCCACTTTCCGGCAGATTTCCCCAATTCTGCCAGCTTTCAGACAGGTTTCTAGAGTTCTGACAGCTTCTAGGAGGGTTGCTCGAGTTTTGTCTGCCTTAAGCCAGGTTTATTGAATTCTAACAACCATCGCTGAGTCCCTCGACTTCAGGCTGTCACCAGTGGGGTCTTCCTATTTCTGGCTTCCTCTACATCGCATCCTCTGTATCTGAGTTGGTCTGATCGACACGCTGGTGTCTGTGGTCGTGTCGCAGTGCCACAACTCTGAGGTATCCTCAGACAGGTCTGTATTGGATACATTTGAATGGGTCTCTGGCTACCTTTAAGTGGGTTTCTTAAGTAATACCCTAGTTTCGTGTACGCTGAATTTAGGCTATCCTCAAACGTGTTCTTCGAGTTCCAGTTATCTTTAAGCTAGGTCCCCAGCATTTGGGTCAGTCAACAACTTTATCGCGATCATTGCCTCCAATTAGATGTCCTCCTGCATTATATAGCTGACACTATGTTATGACGTCCTAGTCTACGAGTCTCGTACCCTGAACTTTGAAATTTGGCTAGATAACCCTCTGTATTTGATTTTTCCGAGGTTTCTGCTTATACCTTTGGCTCTGTGACAATTTGGCGATCTCTTACCATCTTCTCGATGGTATTATATCTATCGGAAATTAATCGTATATCGATTGTATCTCTTCGTTGCAACTCGTTTAATCTCCCATTCTCGATAGCATAGAATCGAAGATTAATTAACGAGATACTGGTCGCTTGGAGTGACTATAGATACGAGCTAAATGAGTTATTAACACGAGTGAAACTAAAGCAGTATACGGAGTCTTGAAACACCTATATCATTCGTCATTATTCGATATTATACAATTTACTTTCAATCATTCAATATGACGCCCGTTATCAACGTTATGCAATTTTTTAAATATAAATGGCGTAATACAATCGGAGTATTTTTCCGCGTGAATCTGCATGAAACGTGGACACTGGTCACCTCTATGCATGGTGCGAAAGTTGCCTAAGACTCTTTGGAATCACAGTCGATATCGAGGAACTCGCAAACGGAGTCTCTTTAAAGAGGAACCTACGATCCTGTGGACACTAGGATAAACATGGATCACGAACTTATCCAGGCACGTAGTTGCTAAAAATTTGCATATCCAGAGCCCCGTAGGCTCCGAAACTGCTCTGATCCACTTAAGGAAACTTGTACAACAGCGTACTTGTCAACGTCAGCCTAGCTTCTCCTTGTAGCGCTCTGTCTTATGAACTCGCGTTTATTTCCTGGCCCCTCGTAAATCCTGAATGAATACCGTGTATTATTCGACAAGGTATTCTTATTACCATTTACCGCATGAAGGAGCAAAATAATTCACGATTTTCCGCGCGATGTAACAGAATTTTAACAAGACGTAAACAAAATTGTCCGGTGTGCTTGTTATTTTGTACCAAAACGATAACGCTCGTACATACTATGCTATCAAACAAGAACACGATACAAACCTGCGTGAGTTTACCCGTTATAACCCAAACCATTATAAATTCACAAAATTTTCGTCCATATTCCGAGAGAAGATTATAATCGGAAATCGAATACGTTTTTCACCGGTGGTTTCGTGCGGGCAGCGTAATTAAATCGATAAGCAGGATATTTTATCGCCAACTTCCCATTCCCATTCGCCTGAAATTGAAAATAATCCTTGCCGCGTACGTCACCTGGCCAGCAGCGGCGGCCGCATGTTTACCTAACTGCAACGACCCTCGTGCAACCCTGTTTCCCTCTTTTCGCGTAATTTTCGTGTCAGCACACGTTCGCACGTACACGGACGTAGGGAATGGTCGCATGGAGTTGGAATAAATTTTCGGGCCACACGTACACGAGCGAGTGGCACCGTCGAGGAGCCTCCGAGCGCGGTTACTCGACGGTATGAATACGAAAAAGGGTTGCTCTTGTGTCGGTGCCGCGGGGCGAGGCGGGAAGGCCGAGGGGGAGGGAAAAGTGGCGTAATCCCTTCGACCGACATTTCCACGTACTCGACTTTGACTCGTCGATGAGCAGTTCCGAGATCTTTTCGTGGAACGTCCCCGCGATTTAATCGCGACACGGAGAACCTGTTTCATCCCCTCGTTTACCCTCCACGCGAATAACCTCTTTTCGCCGTGGAAAATGCCGAACCCGGCAGATACGGACTTATCGTCTGGCAGCCTTGAAATTTTTAGATAATTCGCGTCGAGGGCCGACAGATAAGATCCACCAGACGATTCATCATACACGCGGATGGCCACTCACGCGATTGGACTAGAGACTCCGAGATTACGTCCAACCGATACCGTCGTTCTTCCGTGGTTATAAATTGACGCATATCGACGATTGCATCGACGATGAAACGACTCCCCCGTGCGAGAAGCGAAAGGATTTACACCTGGTCACTCCCTGTTACAGGAAATACGGCATCGCTATTTTTAGTCGCTTTTCAAACGAGACGTGAGCAACCTCGTATATTTATGCGATATTTTTTAAACGTACTTATGGAAATAAAGCTTGAATAGATCTTGCGCCATTCTTCGAAGCGAATGTACAATTGCACGATAAACGAGTAATAAATACGACAAAGAAACGCTGTCTTTTGTGTCTACGAATGCAGAAGTAAGCACGAGAGTTATTAAATCCCTGTCCTTGTGTTCCCGACTGAATTTCTCCGTTAATCGATAAGTACCAGCGCCGTATCATCCCTAATGCAATATTTACGCCGCTGTCTGTTCTAATTATGGAAATGAACAGCTATAATTAGTACTCCCGGTGTAAGTATCGATGCACACGCACTGCGTGCCCACCTGTGCCATCAGGGTAAATATTGTTCCTCGTAGCCCTTCGCAAACATTTTCTCATGATTCTTTTTAAATCGTCACGCAACCTTGTAATACAGTTATAAAATTCCTTGAACAAATTATTACGCGAATTCAGGCTCGAACGGGTGAAATAATTATATGCAAAGCGTATCGCGACTAAACGACTCGTCTTTGATTATGGTATGGTGATATCTCGATGTTCAATTCTTTCACGAGATTTCGGTTCAAACGGAATTTCACAGCGCGTGGTAATAAAGTTACGATAGGTATGGGTTAAGCAGTATAAATTGAAGGTTACGAAATTAAGAGCACATACGAAGCTTTCATTTGCAGTATGTTATTACCACGAAGAATTTCGTTGACGTCAAGCAGCAATTATTTTCGATTGAACAGTCCAGTAGTTTGTGAAAATAATATTATCGGAGACCGAAATAATTAACTATTTCCATATTTCCTCATATCGGAATCTACGAATATTTAGCGTGTCGTGTAATTAAAAAGATTTACGAGTTGCAATACCATTTTGAATTATGCTCGAGGTGACAGGAAAATCATACGGATTATACGTGAAAGAAAAAATGAAAAAATATACGATTTCTTTAGATAGATTATTTTTCCCATTGTTAACGTTCTTAATCCAAGTTAATTACGTATTCCATTATCTGCGACTTCGCGTGAAAAAATCGGGATGCATCGGTATGATAATTATGACCGACGATGGTTGGTTTTGACGTTTCGCTGCGAAGAAAGTAACAACCAGAGTATTTCGCTAGAAAATTTCCGATAG